AAACCCTTCACTGGAATCATTGATCACTGCATTTTCCCAAGTCTGCATATTTTTCATTTATATAAGTCAAATAAAACAATCCAATAAATAGTATACATATGATGGAACAGAGCTATGGTGTCATGTGAAAATAGTAATATTAGATGCTATACTGGATAAACAAAGTGTTCCTGAGTCTTATAAAAACATGACCTCTCAGACTTGGGAAAAGGGCAGTTAGACAAGTGAAGACTGTCTGGGTGGATACTCCATATTGACATCCACTTAATCTCTGAAACTTAATTTCCTCTTCTGTAAAATAGAGTTATTGACAGTTACCACCTGTCTTAGTTATCTAGTGTTGCTGTAACAGAAATACCACAAGTGAGTGGCTTTGTTGTTCTTATTGTTGTTAGGTGCCATGAGGTTGGTTCTGACTCAGGGTGACCCTATACAACAGAACAAAACACTGCCTGGCCCTGCACCAGCCTCACAGTCCTTACTATACCTGAGCCTATTGTTGCAGCCACTTTCAATCCATCTTCTTGAGGTCTTCCCCTTTCTCCTTGACCCTCCTTTACCAAGCATGATATCCTTCTCCAGTAAATGGTCCCTTCTGACAACATGACAAAAATAGCTAAGATAAAGTCTGGCATTCTTACTTCCAAGGTGCATTCCAGCTGCACTTCTTCCAGGACACATTTGTTAGTTCTTCTGGCAATCTGTGGTACTTTCAGTATTCCTTGCCAACATCAGAATGCAAAAGCAACTCTTCCTCTGGTCTTCCAGCTTTCACATGCATATTAGATTACTTAAAATGGTCTACTACCTGGTCCTGTGCCATCCTCACAATCCTTACTATGCATCATTGCAGCCACTGTGTCAATTTATCTCATTGAAGGTCTTCCCCTTTTTCGCTGACCCTCCACTTTATCAAGCATGATATCCTTCTTCAGGAATAGTCCCTTCTGAAAACATGAACAAAGTAGGTGAGACAAAGTCTGGCCATTCTCACTTCCAAGAAGCATCTGGCTGCACTTCATCCAGGACAGATTTGTTCATCCTTCTGGCAGTCCATGGTCTCTTCAGTATTCTTCACCAACAACACAACCAAAAAGCATCAATTCTTCTTCAGTCTTCCTTATTCATTGTCCACCTTTTACTGCATGTAACAAACAAAAAGCAAATTCACTGCCATTGAGTCGATCGATCCCAACTCATAGCCACCCCTCTTTGGATTTCCGAGGTGGTATCTCTACAGAAGTAGATTGCACAATCTTCCTTCAGAGAAGTGGTTGGTTAATTTGAACTGCCAGCTTTCTGGTTAGCAGTCAAATGCTTTAGGCCACCAGAGTTCCTTTCACTGCATGTGAAGCAATTGAAAATACCATGGCTTGGGTCAGGTACACCTTAGTCTTCAAAGTGACATCTTTGCTCTTAAACATTTTAAAGAAGTCTTTTAAAGAATAAGAATATACCCTAGACCAAGGATTGATTTAGCTGAAGATAATCTTACATATGCACTTGTGCTACAAAATTAGCTACTTATATTACAGAAGCAACAGAAGGCAGAGTTGGAGTAACTTCTCAGAGACAACCAAACACTTTGAGAGAGAGAATCACTGGGCTTGCAGGCTCAGGACCATCATACTCAATTGGCACAGCACAGTACATAAATATCTTGTTCTACAACCTACTTTGGTGAGTAGCAACTGGGCTCTTAAAGGTTCAAGCAGCCATCTGTGATACAACTATTGGTCTCCTCTTGTCTGGAGCAAAAAAGAGTAAAGAAAATCAAAGACATCTGAAAACAATTGCTCTAAGGATAAGATGGACCATGAGGACTTCAGCCTTCACAACGCTGAGACCAGAAAAACTAGATGGTGCAAAACAAACAAACAAACAAAAGAGGTCTTTTGCAGCAGATTTTCCCAGTTGAATATATATGGTGCCTCATTTTCTGACTGCTACTTCCATGAGTGTTGACTATGAATCTAAGGAAAATGAAATCCCTAACAATTTCAATCTTTTCTCTTTTTATCATGATGTTGCTTATTGATCTATTTGTGAAGATTTTTGTTTTCTTTATCTGTACTGAAGACTGTAGTTTTTGATCTTCATCAGTAAGTGCTTTGAATCATCTTCACTTTCAGCAAGCAAGAGTGTGTCATCTGCATTTTGCAGGTTGTTAATTATTAATTGTTCTTCCTCCAGTACTGATGCCATGTTCTTTTTCATACAGTCCATCTTCTGGGATTATTTGCTCAGCAT